TTTGGTTGATCGCATTTGAAAAGACTGTAGGCGGCCGCTCGTATACTTATAAATAGCTCTGCTAAATGCTAATGCTTCTTGACCACTTAGAGCAGTAGAAAGCTTTTAACCTACCCAATTCTCGCTCCCTTTCCTCCTTATAGCATTGCTAAGAAAGTTCCTCCCTATACTGCTTAGACAAAAAGCGTAGCGTTGCGAGCCTTGGTAAGTGTTCAGACGCAAGTTGACGAATTGAGAAGATTTTTGTAGACCGCTAGATCCCTAGACCCTGCTTATATATCAAGATCACCTATTTCCTCCTAAAACATTAGAAATCTAGTATATTTGAGACATTTGGATGCTTGAAGGACCTATGTCTTGAAAGTTTAAGGAGGTAATAGATATCTCGATATTTTGATAATCTTGGTCTAGTGATCTAGTGGTCTACAAAGTTCTCTCAATTCGTCAACTTACGTCTAAACATATACCTCTTACCCTACCCTTTTCTAAGGCCGCCTGCCTTTTACCTGCGCGATGACTGCCTGTTATGCGTGTGCAGCAGCTACGTTATTGCCAGGCACGAGCATTAGAATAACCTCTGGCTCGCCAATTATTGTTTAGGTTACCGAATAAGTTCGTGCCGTTTTTTTCAAGCTCAGAAATGTTCTAAGAATATTGTATATCATTAGAAAGTAGACTCTCCTGCAAAATTTTACGCTTAGCTTTCTGAGAAAGCAGAAATGGTTAAAATGCGTTCTAGAGCTTAAAAAGCTCAACTGGCTGTTAAATTTTTTAGACTATGAAGAGCCCCGAATTTACACTAATGCTAACTTTTGGGGTAATTAGATATGCTGTACGGAAATTACAGCCACTTCTCGCGATAGGAAAATACTTAGGATCACAGTAGGTATGCGATGTAGGGTCAAACTCACAGATTTGCTTAAGAAATGCTCTACAGGAATTAACTAACATGCTGAATCAAATTATTCCCCATGTAAAAGCTGTTTCGCACGGCACCCATAAAATTATCCAATTTTCCTTTTTTCAGTAGATTAGTGATTTTAAGCTTACAATCGTATAACCACCTTAATCTTGCAAGGTGCTTATTTTGCAAGGTGGATATTATATATGTAAGCAGCATGTCAATAACCTCTCTCAGGCCACTTGAAATCCGTGATTTTACTACTGTAGCATACCCACCGCAATCCTACAGTATGCACTGCTGTGGGAAATGAATCTGAGTTCTGTAAAACGCGTATTCGACTACCTCAGAAGGTGGCATCGAAGCAATTATCAAGCTTCTAGTATTTAAATAATGTTAAGACGTTGGTTGAGATTTGACTTTAGTTTTTAATCACTTCTAGTTCCACAAAAATCGAGTCAGTGAGCAAGCTCAACTATTTTATAGACACTTCTACTTCGAATGATATGCAAAGTGCTACCATAACATCTGAACCTAATACAATACAAATATATATACACATATACATATATATATATATATATATATATATATATATATATATATATATATAT